AAAAAAAAAAAAAAAAAAAGCAATTGAAGAATAATAAAACTAATAAATGAATAACCTCGAGATATATGTTTACAGGAATGGATCCATTAGCTTCAGCTTCATCAAGCTGAGCTTGGTATCTTGTAGCGAATTCTTCAATGTCTGCCATATTAGGGGAGCCTGACCTGTGACACATTTGTTTAGATTAAAAACGCATTAAGGAAACGCTAACATTACAATTTACAGGTAAACTGAACAGAAACCCAGAAAGGGACATATGGATTCGTATGGGAAACAATTAACAAATACAAAAACAAAGAGAACATGAGCCTCTGTACATATTCAAGATGCGTAGGCTCTTTTAAAAAAAAAATCATTCGGCATGAGCAAGTTCGGCAGCTATGAACCCAATTTATTACTTAATGTTTTCCTCTCTTCAAAACAGAGCGGGAAAATTTATTTCCATACATGTGAGAAACTAATCTTACTTATTAGTAAGCCTCTCTATACGAACTTGAATGGAGGCATTTAGCAGTGTCCTAAAGGCATATATACCAAGTTCGCCATCAAATGAGACTGTAACTTCTTGAGCAATATCTAAAGCTCTTTGATCCCAGCTCATCCCAGCTAGAGATATGCCACCACCTCCAGCTCCATCTCCTACCTTCAAGAACACGATATTTGTGGGAAAAAAAAAAAGAGAGTAAATCACCTTTAGAACCTTTACACAAACTTTAATATAAAACCGCAGTAAAGCGAAGTATTGGCAAAGATAAAGATAGCGACTAAAAGTACGGCACTCACTGAAGGTTCAGCCTCTTCTGCTAAATATTCATCCTCAAAGTCACCATCATCGTCTACCAGTTCATCTGCAATTACCGTAATATATCATTTTTTGCCGGGATGAAGCAGGAAAATCAGAAACTATTAGTTTAAACAAGCACATGGCCTTGTGAGATATCTCATATGTAATCCCTCATACACATGTATTAAGAAAAAAATTACACTCCCAAACTGATCCTATGAACTCACTCAAACAAATGACTGTTACAACTACAATACATTAAGAACATGAGAAAGGAAAAATGGGATCTATAATTTATGAACTAAAATCGAGCTAACATAACAATCCTTGCTGAGCTGGCATTACAACAACCTTATCTTTGTTCTGTACATGGAAATAAACCTAAAATTTCGTAATTGTAACAAGAACAACTACTTCCTCAAGCTAATAGGAACAGCCAACATAAAAAAAAAGAACATGAATTAAACAGTGAACTGAATAAAACGAAATTATTTCCAATTACTCACGAACCATCTTCAAAATCCTCGAGAAAAATGTCATCTTGAAAGTCCTCGTCAACCGCGGTCGCTTCCTCGACAACGGGAGGGCCCACAACTGGCTCACGCTGCGCGTTTTTCTTCCTCGCATAGGCAATGGAGGGCCTCTTCGGAACTCTTGGAAAGGGGCGGGGATAATATGGGAAATGGGCGGTGTTAAAATCGACGGCCATGGATGCTCGCGGTGGAGGTGAAATCAGCGCAGGGTTCGAAAGTGGGTTTTTGTACGGATGGCGAATTGAGGCGATTATATCCATCTGGGGGTTGTTCAGTTTAACCAGTGGTGACAATTACGGGAGAAGATTGAGGGGATTTTTTCTGGAGACGACGATTGGAACGACGGCGTTTTGATCATGGGCTGGTAGCTTGACATGCATCATGGGCCATATGTTTGGAGTCCATGAGTTGTTTATGGGCCTGTGTAAGTTTAAAATGCAGTTCGATCCAAATTCAGTCTTACTAGTGTGTTTGTTAAGCTATAAAGTTGGCTTAAAATATTTTTATGTAATTTATAAGCTTTATACATCCAAATAAGTTCGATTTGGTAGGACGAACATTTTTAAAAAATGTGGAGCTTATATAATAAGTTTCCTTAAGTAACTTTCAAAATAAGCCTGGTGAAATTTCTATTGCAGCTGCTTATCAATTAATTTTAAATATTTTTAACATATCAGCTAATTTTTCAACCATCGGTTAATAAACTACTAGCCAGAAGCTCAAATTCATTTGTAAGTTGTCAGCCAACTTATCGGTCATGAACTAGTTCTACCGAACATATATTAAATCATTTGACAAACTCAACTGGTAAGCTACCTAATAGCTGATATCATTCTCCAAAATTAGTTGCCACCAGGGTTAAGACTAAACAACCCGTTAACGAGACTTTCGACTCGTCTCAAAACGTCCTTTAAGCATGTTTTTCCATAATGTTAATACCTAAACAAGTGTTTTAGCCTTTTATTGACCAACCAACCATTAAAAAAAGACTTGTGGACTTGTCTTTGAAGGCTTTTAAGCTTATTTTATTTTGAGGGGTCCTTCAAGGGCCATTACCCATTGGCTAATTACTAATTAGTTGAACTTAAAACCTTTAGATTCATAATCATCCCACTAATCAACAATTACTAAGCCAAATCACAATTGTCCTCAATTCGAATATTTTGACCTCAAAAAATGAAAATGATTTATGCATAAATTGACCATTAATAGTATATTAATGTTTGTGAGCAGCCACTAAAGCAGCCCCTGTTGTAAATTAATTCAAACATACATAATTTATATACTTACCTATATAAAGATTCCTGCACGAAAACCTTTTCAACATTCTCAATTAGAATTCAGAAGAAAATTTTGAGATATTAAGAACAAAAATGGCAACTTCAAATGTTGGTGGAGACAAATACAGATCGTTCTTAACTCCAGAGGAGCTGAAGACCACGCAATGGCGAGCCGGCCCGCCTAATTACGACGCGGTTAATAAGCTCTTTGAAGATGGTAGAACCAAGGTATAATAGTTTTTAAGTAAGATATAAAAATAAAATCAAGAAATCTCTATATATATAATGTGATCAATCAATTATAATTAATTAATGTTGGTTTAATTAATTTTTGTGTTGTTGTTGAAGGTGTGGGAAGCTGGATCATTAGAAGAATATGTGCAGAATCTAATCAAGACATGGGAAATGGAGATAGTCCATAAGGCCAACCCACAAGATTGCAAAACATTTGATCCGAAAAACTTCGTAATCGGCATCAATGGTACGATCTTTCCCCAACCGACTTAACGTAAACATATTCGATCTCGAAAAAAAAAGAAGAATCGATCCCACATTATAGGCAAAGGATCACACACAATCACGCAGAGTTCACGTGGTTGTGTGTAAGTCACATCTCGCGGGTAGGATGAAATTTTACCGTTTTATCTCAATGTAACATGTAACTTTATAAAGTTTTTCTTTTTCAAAAGTACAATATTACAATACTTGTGCTATAAGAATTTTTCACAAAAATATTGAAGGTAAAAGGTACTACACATTGGAAGAAGTTGGGAAGATCGGTGGAAGTTACCAAATCTTTCTCCAAACTTCGTTGCCACCGGTGTTGAGACTGTACAACCCGGACAACGAGACGTACGACTCGTCTCAGACGGCATTTAAGCAAGTTTTTCCACGTGGATTTGCTGTCGAGATTCTTGAGGTCTACTCGGGCCCACCGGTGATCGCGTACAAGTTCAGGCACTGGGGATATTTCGAAGGGTCCTTCAAGGGCCATGCTCCGACCGGGGAATTGGTTGAGTTGTTCGGCACGTCGATTGTTGAGGTACATTCTTTGTAGATTGAGATTACTATATATTTTTTGTTGAATTAGATAAAAATGTACTTTAATTTTTATTCTTTTTTTTTGGTGATATTTATTTGTAGATGAATGAAGAGAAGAAGATAGTGAAGGTTGAGTTTTTTTATGACCGTGGGGAATTGTTGGCTGGTCTAATTAAGGGAAAAAGAACTTCAGAGGACCATGCAGGGGATGATGAGGCTAACCCATCAGGCTGCCCTTTCATGGCTTAGTTATTGTTTCGAATTGTCTTTTGAGTTTTTCGTTAAATAAAATCTCTATCGTTTCGGAAAAAAAAAATATTGTATTTTTTGTGATAATAAGTTTGGAATAAATTAATCGATTAAAACTGCGTTATCGTCTCGTAATAATTTGCAAATTCGATTGGACAAAAATTTGATTGGTTGGAAATAAATAAATAAATAAATCGATTATTTCGATTTTGCAAATTCGGAACCTATGAACAACTCGGAATTATTGGGGGGACTTTGTACTGTACTGTAGACTAGAAAAGTCGCCGGTCACAATTTATCTTCTAATTTAATATTCAACTTGAAAATTTGTCTTCATATTCTTGGAAATTAGTGGCGTGATTGAACACGTAGTATATTTTGACCACGAAAAGGGCACAAAATAATTGCATAAAAATATTATTTTCCCTTCATGTAGAATACATGCACACGATGAAAATCATAGAAACACTACAATTTATTAGCTGGCATATCTAGACATGGCCAAAACTCGGGCAGAGTCGTGACCCGGCTCGACCCGCTGGGCTCGAAAACAATGACTCGGATCCGTCATGGATCTATACTCGTGCCGGGTTAATCGGGCCGGGTCCGGGCCGAGTCCTAGCCGGTTCCGTCACTTTTTAAAAAAAACGATAGAAAAAAAATAAAATAAATAAAAAAGCGGGCCATCGACTCGGCACGGCCCGAACCCATCGGGTCGGGTCATGAAATGGATGACCCTAACACGATCTTTCGGAAATCCAGTCCAGGCCTGAACCCGTGGTCAACGGATTTGACCGGGCCGAGTCTGTGCTGGGTCGATGGGCCTGTGGCCCTTGGCCATGTCTAGGCATGTCTGTACCAAATTTAATCTCATAAGAAGTATGTAGTTAGGCAGATTTAAGTAAAGGTTAGACAACCATATTGGTTTAACAAATATGTATACTTTTAAATTAACATGTTATACTCTGAAAAATAACATAAATAAAAGTATAACATTTCATTAAAAAAATGTTATGCAATTTTGTTATAAATGTATGGGGTTGACCGCCTAATGGTTAGACCACCCCCACACATTAATTGTGCTTGCCGAATCGTTCTTCGTCATACTACTATCATATGTCATACTTACACTACAAGAAAATAATGAAATTTTAATGAAAGATTTCAAATAGTTCAGTGGAATTTGAACGATAATTCCAATAAATATTATAATGTTGTAATTTCTGTTGTAATTTTTTAATAGATTCCAACAAAAATATTCCGTTAGAATGAGTTTTTTGTTGGAATTTTCGTTGGATTTTAAGGATTCCAACGATAGATTTAGTGGAAATAAAAATTTCAACGGAATTGCATATTACAACAAAATTCCTTCGGCAAAAAATCGTCGGAATCATAAATTTTATTTAAAATTCCAATGAAAAACTCAATGCAACGGAATATTTTCGCTTAAATTTCTATTGAAATATATTACCGCAAGATTTCTAATTAGAATATGGAATTTTCTTGAAGTGGTATGTTTATGATGTTTTTGATATTTTTTAATGAAAGTATTCATATTTGTTAAAAATAAAAAATCATGGCAGTCTAAATGTTGGACCGACCTAACAAAAAATCGACCAATATTGACCTTTCAATTAACTTGTCATCTATTTTGGACAAGTCTGATTAAACTTCTCTGCCATGAAAAGGACCTCAAACAAATAATTCAATTTCTGAAAAATAAAAAATAGCACCACCAACAACCCCCCCCCCCTCCCCTCACCCTCAATATAATTTTTCAGATACTATTCAACTTTGATGGCCATATATCCACATAAATTTAACCTGTATTTATGAAATATATCATTATTCAAAATTTTCAGCATAAGCAAAAAAGATGGCCTCAGACAAATACAGAGCCTACCTAAATGAAGATGATGATGTAAAGAACACTAATTGGAGATTTGGCTCTCCTCCAAACTATGATGTTGTCAACAAACTCTTTGAAGAAGGCAGAACCAAGGTATATATTTTCTCCATTTTCCTTATAAAAATGACTGTTTTTTTTTTTTAATACAATTTAGCATATATGACTATGGCTTATAATTAACCTTCTCCTTTTTTTTCAAAAAAAAAAAAAATATAAATTAATTATACATTATAAGAAAAATGGTCTAAATTCAAGCATTATTTTTAGATATGGGCACCTGGTTCACTAGAGGAAAAGGTGCAAAACATAGTCAAGACATGGGAAATGGAGATGTTCCACAAAGTAGATTTTGATGATCTTAAGTCTGTGGACCCTGTCAAGTACAAGTTCAGCCTTAATGGTACAAATCCCTCTCTATATATTAATTCAAAACGTGTTGAACCTAGGTGGCAGATTCTCACGCTTCGGATGCTGACATGACGAAAATCTATGCTTCGTGATGTTGTTTTTATATTATTTTTACTCTGGAGTTAGATTTGGCATTAGACATAAATAACTTTACACATATATTCATTAACTCACACCCATGTTGTACATGGGTATTAGAGCCTCTCCAGCCCTGCGCTGGATCTTCAAAATAGCGCAAGATTTTGCTCCAGCCCTGCGCCACATTATAGCTCTACTTCAGTGTGGTGAACAGTACTGCGCCAAT